GGGTGCCGGGACCTCGGCCGGGCGGCGGGGCGGGGCCAGCCTGCGCGGGGCAGCGCGTTGGCCAGAGGTGGCCGCCGCCGGGAGTTGTAGTTCCAGAACACCCGCCAGCCCGGCGCGGTCCCTGCGTGTCCGCTCCGCTGTTGCTGCACTTTGTGGGGTCCGCCCTGTAGTGTGCATGCTTGGATGTGTGAAGCATGTGTCTGTGTGCAAAACATGCGTCCATGTGTCCTTGTGCAAGACACGTGTCCGTGTGTTTGCCACCCAACCTTGTGCCTGCGTGCAAAACGTGTCCTGTGCAAAACACGTGCCCACTTGCCAAAACTGACTCTGAACCTTTCTTTGTATTAATGGTGCTCCAGAAAGCGCCCAGGGTTCCTCCACGCTTTAACTTTCAAGAAGTGCTCCCTACTGGAGCCGGTGTTCATAATCCCTGTTTCTTTGTCTTTTGAGATATATCTTAAATTTCAAATCACTCACTTTTTTTTTTAACACCTTTCCTTTACAGACGGTTTTTAATCCAATGTTCCCCTAAGAGGCTTAGCAGATGGAAGCGGAGGCATAGCCTGGCAGAAATGAAGAACCCGTTTCCCAAATAATTCCAAGTCAACGAGTAAGCGAGCTTTGTTTTTTTGCAAAGCAGCTTCCAGATTTCAGAAGGTTTGCCAAAAAGTTTGTTGCATCCACGTCTCAAAATTCCTCAATCACCCTGATCTGTACTGAGCCTAAATGTACAATTTAGTTTGAACTGGAAAGTAAAAATATCAGGATTCATCTGGTCTGGAAATAGGTAAGGACTAGCAGACAGCAGTATGATGTCTGGCTTCATACAAGGCCTCTCTGATGCTCTGTATTTAGGAGGCATTGAAGCATCTGCTGGAATCCAAAGCTCCTGGAAATTCAGAGCACCAGGCCTGGGGATGAAATTTCAAGCCTATTAGCAGTGTGTGTTTGCACCCTTTTTGCTACTTGTCTACAGGAATTAGGCTCTTGAATTTTTCTTGCAAGTTTTCTGCATTTTTTACTAAATGTAATAGATTTTTGTATTAATATATTTGTCATAGAATGTTATGTTTTTCCCAGTGGCAATGCTGTGTGCTTGTATGTTTGTATTTCTTTAATATTTCTTCCTTCACAAAGTATCATCTAGATCTGAGTATAGACCATATAGAATATAAATATAGAACATACGTATATTCATATGTGTATATGCGTTATGCAGGTATTTGCTAAATACATTAGAGAGCAAGTGTTTGCTTATCATTTGCTTATGTTGTAATGTTTTTCTCCATTCTGTTGCTTGATTTCAATATTTTATTGCAGGAAAGCTTTTTAAGTTTTTATGTGTTCAGAAATATATTCTCTAAAAGTATTTTCTTTTTTTCAATATTCAAAATGTATTTCCCCACCTAGAGCCAGAATATGGATATTATTCTGTTCTGTTGTTAAGTCTCTGACCTATCTGGAATTTGTTGCAATGTATATGATGAAAATATAGGATCTAAGTTAATTCTTTTCTAAACTAAAACAGAATTGTTCCCAAAATATTCATTAACTAGTAATACAATCATCTGTTTTTGTGTTAATTTCCTTTTACTGCGTGTTAGGTTTCAATTATCTTTTGAATCTATTGTAAGAAGTTCTATGATATTAGTAAAGTGTTATTATTCATTTAGCAAATATTTAGTGATTACCTAATCTAAGGTAGCTAATTTTTAAACTAACCACTACATGGGTTTTTTAATAAACATAATTTTATAAGATTACAACTGTTTTGTTAGAGTTGTAAATCTGATAAGGCAACTATTTTTTTTTTTTTTTTTTTTTTTTTTTTTTTTTTTTTCCGT